TACTTTTGACCATTGTGTATTTGTGCAGAAATTCTCTGATGATGATTTTATTATTTTACTGCTCTATGTTGATGACATGTTGATTGTTGGCAGGAATCCTTCGAGAATTGACAAATTGAAGAAGCAACTAAGCAAGTTCTTTGCCATGAAAGACTTGGGGCCAACAAAGCAAATTCTTGGTATTCGAATCTATCGAAACAGAAAAGAGAAGAAATTGTACATGTCACAAGAGCAGTACATTGAAAAAGTGCTTGAAAGATTCAATATGAACAATGCTAAAGTGGTTAGCTCACCTCTTGCTACTCATTTTAAGTTAAGCACTAATCAAAGTCCTTCTACAAATAAAGAGAAGGAAGATATGGAAAGAGTTCCATATGCCTTAGCTGTGGGAAGCTTAATGTATGCAATGGTCTGCACAAGGCCAGATATAGCTCATTCAGTTGGTGTGGTTAGCCGATTTCTTTCAAATCCAGGAAGAGAACATTGGAATGCAGTAAAGTGGATAATGAGATATCTTAGAGGCACTTCCAGGTTGACACTCAGTTTTGGAAATGGACAACAAATTTTAGTTGGCTACACTGATGTAGATATGGCAGGAGATGTGGATACCCGTAAGTCTACTTCGGGTTATTTGATCACTTTCTCAGGTAGAGCTGTTTCTTGGCAGGCAAGGTTGCAAAAATGTGTTGCATTCTCTACAACAGAGGCAGAGTTTATTGCGGCAACAGAAGCTTGTAAAGAGTTGTTATGGATGAAAAAGTTCTTGACGGAGCTTGGTTTCAAACAACAACAATATGTGTTGTTTTGTGATAGCCAAAGTGCTATTCACTTGGCTAAGAACTCTACATTCTATTCGAGGTCGAAGCACATTGACGTGAGGTACCATTGGATAAGAGAAATTCTTAATCATAAGTTGTTGAAACTTGGAAAAATTCATACTGATGATAATGATGCTGACATGTTGACAAAAGCTTTGGTTAGGGAGAAGCTTGAGACATGTTGCTCAATTGCCGGGATGGAGAATCCCTCCACCTAGTCGGAAAGGGGGAGATTTGTTGGGTTGGGTTTCCATCCTATGTGGAGGAAGGCCCAAAACATTTAGTAAGCCCATGTGAATTCCAAAGCCCACATGGAGAGGTTATGTTTTTTGAAAAGATCTGGCCCATAAGTTTAGGGTTACAAACCTTTTCTTTGTACACAAAAAAGAGACATAGAAGCTGCCACCAAAACAGAGAGGAGAGGAGAAATTCTGTCCAGCAGTGATCAAGCTATCTGATCAACAAGAATCTGTGGTCCGATTGAGCTGAAATTTGGTAGGCGAGTTCACAACTCAAGACTCTAAATTCTGGACGGTGGAGATCAGATTTGGAGTTTTCTACTACTGGTTTTTGGCCCGTAAATAGTATTGTTTTTGGTGAGATTTTTTCTAAACTTTGTAGTTTGATCTTTGGTTGCCAAGGAAGCTTATTTGTAAGTTGTTCTTGATTGTTTGCCTCTAGTTCTATCTAGAGAGAACTCTTGTATACCCATTATTTGTTTATAGTGGAGATATTTGGTGGACTATGGTCCCGTGGTTTTTCCTTTCCACATCGGGAAGGTTTTCTACGTTAAAAATTGCTATCGCCTTATTGTGTGATTGTTGGATCATTGTTTTCAGATTATTTTCAGAATATATTGTGCTCTATTAAATTGCTTCCTAATAGGTTCACACTAAGAGGGAGAATAAACTACTTCCGCTATTTTTGTGCCGGATTCGGATATTTCGAATTGGTTTTTTGTTTTGTTTTCTCCCAACATCGCCCTCACATCTGCCATTTTAATGTCTTCATCTCCTGGCATCATTATGGCGCTGTTTGGGAAGCCGGAAATGAGGCTATTATAGCCTCATTTGAGAAAAAAGCCAAAAAGCAACATTGTTCATAGGTTTTCAAAAAAAAAAAAAATTAGACCGGCAGTGGCTATCATAGTGACAGGTAGTAGAATTACAATTTTGCCCCTATCGATTTACTTTGAAAAATGTGAGAATAGGGATAAAATTGTCATTTTAATTACAAACATCATTTCAACACATTTTTCAATACACCAACTCAAATAAAAATCTATCCCATCTTCCCAAACACAAAAACTAAAATAGCCTACTAAAATAGTCAAAAAGCCAAAAAGCCTCTAAAATAGCCACTTCCCAAACGAGGCCTATATCTCCAATTGTTATCATTGTTGGGTGGTCAAGAAGGCCCGGTGCTTCGGGTCCTTATCATTTTGTATATTTTGCATTACTTCATCAATGAGAATATTTTGTCTTATGAAATTATGTAAGGCCATTGATGTTGCAATTAAGGGAACTTGTACTCTCCAAAAATTGTATTTCATCATGTTTCTCAAGATGCCCCACCTTGATTTCTACGTACCATCGCAAAGTCTTAAATGACATTCGTTACAAATAATTATTTATTATAAAAATTATATATGCATTTGTTACAACAAAAATATCAATTGCAAGAACTTAACAATTTTTTTTAGATGAAAAATAACATAAAATTAACAAATTAATTTAAAGATGTAAAAAAAATATCAACCTATATTTTCATATATATATATACCCATACATCTCATAAAAATAAAAAAATTCTTACTACAACAATTTATCTATATATTGCAACTAAAACAAATTTGAAAAATTAGAGATGAGAAGCTTAGAGACCTAACAACCTTATCAACACACAATGTTCACCAAAATCTCTAACTACAAATAAAACACATAAACAATAACCTATGACAAGTAATGAGACTACGAATTTTTACGTAGCTGTGAACAAACCAAAGAAATGGTTCCCCCTTTTGAATTCTTATCAAAACACAAGTTGCAAGACAAGCTGATCTCTCTCTAGTGTATAGGAACATTGTTGAGGGTTTTATTGCGAAGTAAATAGACTTTATTGTGCACTCAATGAGAAATATGTTTAGATTGTCCTACGATTTAAGGGTTTCCGATTTCAAATTCAACAGCTGATTTTGGATTATTACGTATACAAAACGTGAAAACTAAGGATGCAGTAACAAACATGACCCTACGAGGTGCCCACTTCAAGCAAGAAGCAATGCCTATGTGGCTGTCGTAGATTGCCACCTATGCATCGACGATAGAGTAGTGTATAGTTATGCAAATAATTATTCCCATGTTCAAACAAAACTCTTTTCATTATCCACCATGTATAGTTATGCCATTTTTAAAATTATATGTAGAAGCTAGTAGTGTTTTTGGGTGATGAAACATGTATAGATACAAATAGTTCGAGAAAGAAGTACCTTCATAAACTTATCCAAATTAAATCTGTTTGAATTTTTAAATATTCAATTAATTGGTTGTTAACTTAGGATTGTTGGTAGCAAAAAGTAACTTGAAGACTCAAATTTGGCCTGCCAACAAGCTCTAACTTTAAAGGACTCATCATCATGCATAAACTAGAAGTCTACAATACAACTACTAATAGATTCAATATGTAGCGAACTCTCAACTAAAAAAAATCATTTTTTGTGACTGCTGGATGCTGCACAAATAACAAAAATGCAGTCACAAAAAATCTTTTGCGA